GGACAATTATATGTTGCGTGTTCTAGAGTCGGCAAACCAGACAATCTCTATATCTGCACAGACAATGGAACAACAAAAAATATTGTATACCCACAAGCATTGTGAAATTAAACATATTACAAACGTGCGCTTTCTCTTTTCTTTCTTTTCCATTTAACCAGACTGAGCCACAGCAACGCATGGCCGGGTACAGCTAGTATACTAGTCTCCCACTAACTCTTTGCCAGCCACAAATTTTGAATATATATATATATATGTATGTATGTATGTATGTATGTATGTATGTATGTATGTATGTATGTATGTATGTATGATAAAAACAAATAAGTTTGAACACCAGGATAACATTAAACCAAAAACTGTTTAATACAAGTGCTGAGCTTTCATCGGCCAACACTGCCGACATCGTCAGAGCATAAAAGCAAGGTTACTGGGAGTTCTCTTTTATTACCGCTTGACTTTGCACTCGGCTTTTCGACCTGGTCATTGGTCCACTCATTGTCTCTAGTTGTTTTGTTTTTAAAGGGCACGCGTTTGCTGCTACGCTAATAGTTTCCAAGGTTGCTGTTCTCTTTTCCCCTTTTCTCCCCCCAATCCTTTTCCTCGTGCGCGTCCAGCTGTCAAATTGTGTAGGGCGCTTTCGCTCACTCTCCCCCCTCGCCTCCATCCCGAGACCTATCTGTTCCTCCCCAGTGGGGCTATCGGCGGAATGCACGTTCGGCATAGTTCTCTTGCTCCTCTGTCCTGCCGCTCCTGCGCATGTGTGAGCGTCCAGGAGCCGGTCTGTCAAGCGGGTCTGGGCGTTCATCCAGGAGGTCTCCGATGGGCGTGCTCCCGTGTGCACTCCTCTACTCGGGAGCGCTGTCCCTTTTTGGGGGTGCACACGGGCGCATTGGGGGTCTCCCTCTAGCCGCTCGCTCTCGTCTTTCCCCCACCACTCGCCATCGTCGTGCATTCGTCGCCAGATCATCCTCTGGGCGTGCATTTAACCCTGCTCCACCATTCGCCAGTTCTCTTGCCTTTCTTGCACGCATGTAGGCTCCCACGAGCTGGCCTTCCATCAATCGCTCGCGGCCATCCGCTGCGAGGTCGCCGGTGGGGTGTGTCGTCACTCTCATCTCGCTCGCGGAAGTCGTGGCATGTGTGTATCTCGCGGACCATCATCCAGCCGTCCACGCCGTCCACGTTCATCTCTCCTTTCTCCTCTCGTTGTAAGGTGGGTTGGGGTATGTGTGCTTGGGATGTCTATGGGGCGCATTCCAGAGGAAGAGGGAAAAAAGAGTTGCAGTTCTGGATTCAATACCATGACCTTGCTTCTATCTCAGACCACTCCACAGTGGAGCCTACCTCACAAGATGTCAAGTAAAGATCAATTGTTGCATTAATGGCTAATCCCAGCCAATCTGGTAAGAGCCAGCCAAACATGATGCAGGAATTATAATCCCATCAAATTGTCACTGCCTATCAACAGCTAAAGTTGAGGATAATATTACTGGCTGTGAAAGCCCTTTTATATCAGATTAGTTGGCAAATATTGGTGCAAATAGATAATATAACAAACAGTGTTTGTATAAACAATCTGGGTGGAACCAGATCAAGGGGTATTTACAAAAAACCAAAGAACTGATGACATAAGTGAATATATGCTTATTCATATCAATGGGTACACAAATGGATCACTGAATACCACAGTTAATAGCAATTTAAAAAAACCAATAAAATGTGTTAAAAAAAAGAGGCACAATATGTTAATAGGGGATTGCCTAATGCAGGGTGGTCAAACATTCAAAAGTGAAGAGATATATAGACAACTCAACTCAATACATTTCACGATCCCCTCTCTATTTCCCTCAATTAACATGATATGTTTAAATATTCCATTTCTATTTTAAATTTCTATTACTACTAAACCTGTTTTATAACTTTATCAGTTTACAATTACCATAGTTTAAATTTAAAACAACAAATTATCAATTCTAATTCTTAATCTCTCACATCCCTCATTTTATCACCAATCTCATTTATTTCTTCGTCCACTACACAATAGATATCCTAATAACAATAAAATATTAATCAGCCCTATACATATGTAATCCCAGAATCAATCCATCTCTTTAAAATAACGAGATATTAAACCTTAATTCATTCAAATTCATCAAACAAAATTCAAATTTTCTCCAACTGCTTATCATGCCTTATCACATCTTTGTTGTCATACAAAAAGGTCATCCTACTAATTTAAAACACTACATTAATTATTA